TGCTGTTGCTGTTGTTGCTGTTGCTGTTGCTGTTGCTGTTGCTGTTGCTGTTGCTGTTGCTGTTGCTGTTGTTGTTGTTGTTGTTGTTGTTGTTGTTGTTGTTGTTGTTGTTGTTGTTGTTGTTGTTGTTGTTGTTGTTGTTGTTGTTGTTGTTGTTGTATAGTAGTACCGTGCCGATACGCCCCCAACGAAACCGCATCGAAGACAACCCCTTTGTCTGCCTGTAAAATATAGGAATTTGCGCAGCGCACTCTGGATGACAACTTAAAGGTGCACCTACCCGCCTTTCACTCACAGGACCTTGGCTGAGACAACGGCGCTTCCGTACTTCTGAATGCACGCCAGCGCGTGCTCGCCTGGCAACAGATTGGAGAAGTGGTTGAAAGAAGCAAAGTGTCAAGCAAGGCTGCAGCGCCGGGTGGGCTTCTTGCACGCATGCCGACACGGCTGCGAAGCAATATGGGTGAAGTGTTGGTCCGAGTTTCTTAGCGGCGTGTTGCTCTTATCCCTGGTGAAGGTGTCTGTTCAGCACACCCCCCTGAAAACCATCTGGCTCATGAATAAGGGGCCCATGTCTTACAGAAGACAACACAGCTGCAAGAAACTCTCTGGCTTGAATGGATAGGAGGCTGCGTAAATCGCGAAACAAGCTGGACGTCCTAACCAAGCACACACACACACACGCACACTGCGCAGAGTCGCAGAGCACCTGCAGTCCTGCCTACGGTCCTCTGCGACATCAGACAGAGCGGAACCTTTGCTAAGCAGCCATGGGCAGAGCTGCGGACTGAAAGACATCGGCGCTGCTTCATGCTGTTGTGGCTCAAAGCTTTTGCGAAACCCCCCCCAAACTGATGTGGTTGCTAAGAGCCGTTCCCTCTCGCGCATTTTGAGGTCAAAACGCCTCTGCGAGGCCCAGCTGAGAAAACGTAACGTGAGATGGCCTTCCCTCACAGTCCTGCTCATGCTCCCAAAGCCCGTCCCGAAATACATCCCCCGCTGAAAGGCTAGGGTTCATCAACATTCGTGAATGAACGAGGGTCGCGCTTTCCATTCAATGGAAACTTTTTCAGCGGTCATCCTGTGTAAAGAACGTTTTGGTCAACCCCCACAAACTGCCCCGTGCAGAAGACTGCTTGAATCATGACAAGCGAGAAGTTATTCGCAGCTAACTTGAGCAGCTGCTGTCAAAACAAACGAACGGCTCTCGAAAGTCTCAGCCAAACGCTGCAATGATTCCCCGTAAACGCAAACAAACAACCGTTTCCATGGCAAGTGGCGTAGGACGAACCCCATTTTGAAGCCACACGCCGCCGCATGGCGGGAGCACGCGCGGGCCACGCGCGGGCCACGCAGGCCGGCGTGCCCCGCAAAGTGCGTGCTGGCAAAAAGATGATGGAACCATTTCGTGACAGATTCACAAGGAGGGTCGCATGAAGGCCCCTGTTGCAGCCCCTGGTTTCTAGTTGCGAACTTTGACCAGGCTTTTGAATGATTAGCTTTGCGGTCGTTTCACTCCACCGTCCACCATGAGAGCAGGATGTTGCACTGAAGCTGGCCCATTACTTTTTTGGCATTGTTGGGGAGGGGGGGGGTCAGGTGCCACATTGTTGTTCTTTTGAACGCAGGTAATGGAGAAGGAAGGAAAGCCAGACATCGAGGCAGATCAAGTGCGTAACAGTGAACTTGATGCAGCCAGGTGTTTCAGCTTTGGCACCTTGCTCGGACGCTGGGTTGCTGCCGCAGGCAGTGGCTCCGAGCAACTGAAACTCCCCATGGCTGATGCTGAGCACGGTTTTTTTACCATGTCTCCCTCGCGTATTGCTGCCGCAAAATAGCATTGGCGCAACCGAGCCAAGCGTTCTAACCACGACGAAAAAAATAACTACGACGAAAAAATAATAACTACGTCGAGAAAAAAACGGATGCACGTACACTATAGAAGGAAATAGAAGGCTCTGTAGAAGGAAATAGAAGGCTCTGTAGAAGGAAATAGAAGGCGCTGTGCAGAAGGCTCTGCAGCAGGAAGTAGAAGGCGTTGCACACTGTAGAAGGAAATAGAAGGAGGCTCTGTAGAAGGAAATAGAGGGCTTTGTAGAAGGAAATGGAAGGCTGTGCAGAAGGAAATAAAAGGCGCGGTAGAAGGAAATAGAAGGCTCTGTAGAAGGAAATAGAAGGCGCTGTAATAGAAGGAATCATAACGGCTCCTTGTGTCTTCAGCGCCCATCTTGGCACTTGTCAAATGGGGGGAAACCCTGTTGGCTGACGCTTCATGGGAAACTAAACGGCAACCATAGGTTTGTTGGGTCTGCTACTGCTGATAAAATCGAACAAACTGTCCAGTCAAAGCAGCTACGCGCTTGGCTCTGATGGTCCCTTTGCACCCTAAAGCTTCCCAGGCTCCGAAAGTTCAAGGACCAATCGCAAACCCAAGAATGTGTCTTGGCAGATTGACAAGGAGTGCTTGGACACAAAGAATCGCATTCCGTCTGGGGGATCTTTGAAAACTATTCTCAACCTTTTTTCGAGGGGCAGGGGTTGCCTGGTACAAGTCTGTGTGTGTGTCTTGCCAATCTGCCATGCCAAATCCCTTGCGAAAGCAGAGTTTGTTTTCCTGGTTGGTGCCACCCACGAGCCCATCACTGCCTACCCCGAAAAAAGTTTTCAAGTGTGCCACTCGAGAGCTGAGTAAGTTATGTTGAGGTACATGCTAAAATGGTCACTACCCCATACCACCACCCCCAGGGCGAAATGGGATATACAACCACATATATAGCCACTACATAAAGCGTATATGCTCCATTCTGTTTTGGGGAAGTGGTTTGAGGGTAGTAGAAACCGTCTTAGATGCATCCTTTGAGTGAGGCGAGGGTGTATGCGGCATGCGTTGCCTGCCAATGGGCCAAAAACGTCTTGGCATTCTCCAAGATGTTGGGCGCATATTTGTTTGAGGCTACCCTTTGAGGCCAAAGGAAACTAATCATTTTAGGGATTCCCTGACTTAGTCCTCCAGTAGAGAGGGTAGCATAAGGGTACCCTTTTTTATTTTTTTCTATTTTAGTAAGGGAACCCTCCCCCAAAAAACAGGGTTTAAAAGGGCACTACTGGGGACCTGGCAAATAAAATTAAAAGACCAATTCTGCTTTGACCAACTGCAAATGAACGGGGCGAGAGGGGCATTCAAAAGTAGAGTCCTCTAGACAAAGGCGTCACACATGTTTGACGCCAGGCCACGCGGATTTGGAGGCCCAAGCCAAGCATGTTGCCTGGGTGATAAATAGGAAGCCTGGAACCAACACACATTCCCCTCCCCCTCGACTCTTTTCTGGAAGAATTCATGGGAGATAAAGGCACCCAGGTCGATCTTGCCAGAGATGCCCTCTGGCGGGTAACAGACATTGGAGAGTTGCACTCAATTCCGCCTCTCTGGGACACTTCTGGCTGCCGAACATGGCGTCAATGCGCGAGACCCGTGCAAGTATGGTTCCCTGGTAGCTTTTTAAGTTTGGGACATGTCAACCTTTAGAACCCGTAGCTCGGCCTTCCCACCTGCCCTCCAAATTTGCTGGTTCTATGCAATTGCCCCTCGGCCAGCAAGTTGTCTAAAGCCGGATTCGACTCCTTTCGTTCAACACAAGGGGCCCTACATCAGCCTTCTCCGTTGGCAGGGTTGACCTTAATATCCATCATACGCTTCTGCAGGGCCCTTATGGAAAAATGTGGGGCAGCTCCAATTTAAGCGGGCAATTGAAACTGTCTTGGTGGGAACTTCAACATGTTGTTGCTCTTGATTCTTCCTGTAGGCCCAAAAGAAATACCAAAAAAACGGCCCCCCCTCAAGCAACGACAAAACTCCCCCCAGCCCCCAGCCCCAGGCCCCCCTCCCCAAAGTACCAAAAAAACGGCCCCCTCAAACAAAAAAAGCTCTTCTCCTGAACCACCCCTCCTCCCCCCACCCCCCCGCCCCACAGGAACTTTGGTTGACCTTGAGTTACTTGCCGGGCCCAGCGTCCAGGCGAAGCTTGGCAGGCACGGGCCTCGAGCCGGAGAAAAAAAACGGAACACGTCCAACGCCAGGTTTGGCTATGGAACCCTTGACCTTGAAGAAGTGGGCGTGTTTTTTCGTTCTTTTCTTCTTTTTATATTTCTTCTCCCCCCCCCCCCCGACCAAAAGCGCTGGGTGTTTTCTTGTTGGTTCCCTTTTACACCAACCAAAACCACCCAAAACAACCCGACATGGCTTCGGTTTTCCGGTTGGCCCCCTTTTAAACCAACCAAACGAGCCCGCAAAACCAGCACACACTCCATTAAACCGGAACCCTTTTTGATTGATCATCCTTCACGGGGCCCACACCAAAGCAAAACAAGGTGCGGCTTGGACCTTTGCAACCCACGTTATGGCCCAACAGTAGCATCCCGCTGAACCTCTGAAGGATGACCTTCCTTTCATTTGAACTTTATCAAACACTCAACAGACATCGCATCTTTCGACTTGCCCTGTTTCAGGGGGGTGTTGCAACATCATTGCAAAATGCAGGCGTTCGCTAGTGACTGTCTTCAGCCATTGTGTGCAAATTCTGGGTGGGGGACCTGGGGGCGGGGTCATACCAAAAACACTTGCTGACAAATGTGCATACAGGTTAGTCAGGTCCAACATGCTGCCCCATCTGCCCCGCAGTAGGATCCTTACAGCATATATGCTTTCTTGTTCCGGCTTCTTCTAAGCAGTAAACGCATTCTGAAACAATACACCAGCGCACCACACACACACAGCAAAAGGCTACTCCCCAACTGCTTTCCTCCAACTCAGCGCAAAGAGTGACACATCACCTCTACTTCTGATGTTTTGTAGGCACGCGCAGCGGTAAAGCTCCCGGTCCCCCCGAAAACCATGCCAAACGACGCACAAGTTCACTTGAGTTGAAGGCAGGGTTGTGGAACCAAGGGGTTTTGTTCCCACTTCTGTGATATCTTCGGGCATCTTTTCCTGTATATGGGGTGGTCTTCGGGAAGCCCTTGTTGTATCACAGATTCGTGGATTCCATTTCCCACAACCGGCAGGTGCCTAAGCCCTCGGCCCCCCCTCCACGAAGACACTCACCACATAGCGCCGCACCTGCGTGGGGTGCGGAAGGGGAGCACCGCGAAGTTCGCAGAAGGGGTTGGGCTCCAGGAAATCCAACAGGAGAACAGCTCTTGTGTGTGTTGGGGTCATTTCCTGTAGGCTTGCCTGTAACCCCTTGAATGTTCAGGAGGTACTTTCACCCCTTTCAAGAGCCCTCACCACATATTTTCAGGAGACTCTTGGCCTCTGCGGGCTGTAGCTACTTTATCGGAAGGACCTGAGCCAAAGCTACCCTCCCAGCAACTCATGTGGGTTAGGGAAAGTGCAGATGTTCCTCTCGTGGAAGACTAGTGCCATCTCAGAAGGGAGGCTGTTCCATGCAATGTTTCTTCAAAGGGTGCAAACCTTTTGCGAGCATAAGGATCAAATGTGGTACACCAACAAGTCAGGAGTCTAAAGGTCACATGTAATGAACGATGTATCATGTGTCTTGTTCAATGAGGGAACTGAGCGAACCTTCCGAGAACAGGCTGCGTGCTCATTTCGGGCAAAGGCCTTTCAGCCTCCTTGCCTTTCACATGTGGCTGTGTCGCTGAAGGGATGCCTCCAAATTGTTGATCTCCGTTTGCCACTTTTGCCACGTATTGTGCGATTCATCACTCTTCGAGCCCATTTCGTGCGAGAGCCCACCATCTCAGGAACTCACTTCCTGGTTGGAGTATGGCAACTTCAACACACTGGGTGCCGACTTGAATCAAAACCTCTGGCAACACTAAACATGCCAAGCAGGTTTCTGGCGACTTGCTTGAATGAGATGGGGATTCATGTCCACCAACTTCTTGATGGTTTGGATGAGATGAGCTGGGGAAAAGAATGAGTTTTCCCAAATACAACTCCATTAAATCTCATCCAAGAAAGGATGGTTTGGATGAGATGTCCCCTTTCCCCATTAAAACTCATCCAACACACGGGGTCAGCGGGAAAGCGAGTGCACGCGCTTCGACACGGGGCCTCGGGATCAAACGCCTCGATGCGGCACAGCTTCCCGTTGAACTCCGCCGACCTGCCCGGGGCCCAGGGCAAGGGGTGGGGGACTGGAAGACATGATCTCTCATGGGGGCTGGGGAGCTGGGGGGGAGGGAGGGGAGGGGGAGCCCAAACAAGCCCTATTAAGCCCCTAAGCCTTGTTTGGGGCTTATTGGGGCTCCCTCCCCCCCAGCCCCCATGAATCTCCGCATCAAAGGGAATCCATGACACAAGGGAAACGCAACACAAATCGAATGATATGGGTCAAAAAGAAAAGGAACCCAAACTGCTTGGTAAATTGAACCAAGGACTAAAACCTGCGGTGCGCTGGTGTAATTTTGACCCACAGCCATATCAGAATCAAAGGGAATCCGTAGGACACAAGGGAAAGCCACCAAACCTGGCATTGACGTACAAAGGGATCCTCAAATTCACATTTTTCCCAAAAGAAGACAGATGGCCCGGCGATGGCCCGCAGATATTATTCACCCTGTGAATAGTTTGCAGGGCGCGCAGTCAGTGCTGGACACCAGGAATGGCCAAAAGCACCACAGCGTTACCAAGATACCAGCAGCAAGCAAAGAAAAGTCATGATGCCTGCCGAAATGTAGACTCCTCAGGTGACAGGGCCGAAGACCTCCTGGAAAAAGCATGGTGGCTAAAGTGAAACCGGAGGAAACCAAACAAATGTAAACTTGTGGTTTGAACATCCTGAGACTCGAGGCAACCTTGGAAAAACAAAGATGTTGTGTATCACTTACTTGATAACTTACAGCCACCTGAGAAAGCCGAGCAATCTCATTCAAAGTTGGCAGTTGATCAGTTGTGTACTCCGATTCATGCGGAACTCCCAACACACATTTTTTCTTTACAGGAACGCCATTTTCGGGACCGCTTTTTGGGGAATCATGTCAACTTTCCGAGTCGGATCCCCCAAACCTGCGCTGACAACTTGCTTAAGGCCCCAGGAAGAAATACAAATACTTGCAGTAGGGACTCGAATTCCTTTCAAAACCAACAAGGGAGCATAGAAATAAAATACTCTGAAGCAAATGGAGGATCAGGGCTGTGGGAAATGACCACTTCTGTGATACACCAAAAAAACCTTCCAACCAAAACAAAACCGAAAAATCACCTAACCCAACCACAAATCGCCAAAAACCCAGGGGACCGGTCGCCTCACAAGGCCGGTGATCAGCGCCGTGCTGCCGATCAAGTCAGACACCGCTTCGGATTCCGTGAGGTAGCCTCGGCTTGGGATGGGATGTCAAAGTGGGATGGAGGTGCAGTTGGTTGGTTGAGTTGGTTTAGTGGGTTTAGTCGGTTTAGTTGGTTTAGTTGGTTGGGTTGGTTCAGTGGGTCGGCAGGTTGGTGGGAGGTTGGCTTGCTCGCTTGCTTCATGGGTCCGTCGCTCGGTGCGTTCCTTGGGTGCGGCCGAGGGCACCGCCCAAAAATTTTACGACGCCCGCCATTCGGCGATGCTCTGTGGGGCGCAGAGCTTTCCAGCCAAATACCCGCGACCCACTTGCGCAAAACGCGCCCCGCCCGCCAGTCCTGAGCATGGAATTGGGGACGCCCGAAGCTCAATGACCCAAGGTGGCCCTGGGACCGGTGGAAAGGACGGCCACGTGGAAAGGGTGAGCCCTTTTGAAGCTTTCCATTTACACAAAATGTGGGTATCTTCAGGCAGATCTCATCTCACAACAAGCGGGATTTGGGTTTCAAACATCCGGCTTGGACAAAAGTTCAAGTTTCAAAAGTTTTGAAAAGGAGGTTGTTGTTTTTTTTTTTTTTTTGTGGGGAGAACACTTTTTGACTGAAATGAAGTTTACGGAGACCAAACCAGACAGTTTCTCCTCGGCCTGCGCAATGTCGGTCATCCAACTTGGGCACAGCAGAATCTGCTTACTTTGTCCAATCCGAATCAGTCCACTTATTCCAAGATTCGATCAACTCCATACGCTCCATGCCAGCCAGGTATCACTTCTCCCAAGTTTTCAGTGCAAACCCCTGGGGCTCACAACAGCCCGACAGCTTTTCCGCCTGCCAAGAGGCCCGGGCCCTCTTCGCGCTTCGGAGTTGATGGAGTGGGCGACCATCTGGAAGCCTGGGAACTCAGCCGTTCACTTTCTCGCGCCTCTGGAACTTAGCGCTGGCTTCAGTATTTTACCAAAGTCACCCCCCTTGGTGGGTTAAAGGGAAATAACCGAATCCACTTTCTGACTTTCTGAGAACCCCCAGAAACCGTCAAAATAATGACCCCAGCTTAACGCCAAACCCATTTGCCCAAACACAGCAGTGCCTAGACAGGCCTCACTCAGATTGGAGTTTAGGCCATCGGCGGGACACACCTTTGAAGGGTTCTCCATCATTGGAATCTGACAAAATCAAGGGGGGAGGGGCGGTGGGTGGGGGGCTTGACAAGGGGGGACTTTCAGGAGGAGTGTGTGTTTAGCTTAAAGTTGAGACCCTTCCAATGTCTCACTTTGTAAATGGGTCAAAAATCCAGGGACTTTCCTTTTCTAAATGGTCCTGGATTTTCGGAAGAAAGTCTAGGAACTCAAGGCACCGAATTCCTTCACCAAGACTTGCCCTGCCAAGATCCCTTCCGGCCAAGGAAACGAGCGACTTCTTGTTGGTTCATCTTCAACAGGCGGCAAAACCAGGAACAGAGTACCCGAGAGGGTCATTGCCCGCGCACTGTCGGCTAATGCATGCCGGGTGGCCCCAGCTCCTGCGCATCAGTGGGGAAGCAAAGGATTACTAGGAACTGGGGGCAAGAACATCCAATCTTCTAAGAGGTACTGTTGAGTTTGAAACACGCAAGGACTGCCACATATTGCACCAAGTACACAGCTGGCTTGGCATGGACATTCTCGGAATGCCCAGTTTACCTGGATGGCCCACTGCAAGCTGTTTTTTTTTTCTGGCGTAGTGCATCGGCCACACAACTATGTTCCAGGATACGTCTCTTCAAAAATTCATGTCCGCCTTTGGACCCCCATTTAACGATGGGGTGTGATGAAACCGGATGGCAAACCTGCCTTGCCAGGAATACAAACCAAGCACCCCGTACCTGGACCGGGAGCCAGCTGCTAGATCGATCAACTGCAAAGTGCCCTTCCGAGTCTGCAAAGAACAAGAATGCGCATGGAAAACTGGCAAGCAAGTTCCGCCCGGCGAGGGTGCTGATGGTAAGCCAGGAATAACGAACCCCTACTTGATTGATAGGGGGGGTTGTTCCATTTTGGTGAATCCTTCACTTTAGGGGAACCTGACACGGGGAACACACGCAATTGCCGAAGATGTAACCACGTTGGTTGAACATCCAAGCAGCTTTGACCAAATGGCATGTAGCCCAAGACATGCACAGCGTGCCTTCTGCAGAGGAGAAGGCTTTCCTCAGTCGGGGGCTTGCCCTCAAGAAATTCATACCGTCCAGTGCCTGGCTCCATGAAGACTAGGGTGTTATCACATGAAAGCTGTTCCCGATCAACTGCTGTTTCTGATCCTCAGTCAGCTTTTGCTTGAGATTCAAGTGGTCCGTGTTGAACCCCATGACCCTGAGTTGCTCATCTGCCTACCAAGGAGCTGAAGTTTGCATCAAGGTGTTTCACCTCTTGGGATGACGAAAGACCGCCCTCAACAGACGGAAACAAAACTGCTTGCAAGGAAGTCGCTGTGCATCAGCCTGTTCACGAATTCAGGCCGGCCATGGCAACACTCGGGATACACGAAGGCCACTCCAAAACTAAATATGGACCACAGGAAGCTTCCAGTTGCTTAAGTCCACTGGACAAAATATTCCAGTAGTGCTAGATTCTCCTTAAAAACCAACAGAGGAAAACATAATAATAACAAACAACAACTTAAGCAAATGGAAGGGACACCCTTTCTAGCAGTTGACTCCGGTCGACGGGGGCCAGTTTTCGCCTGCCATCCCAGGCGCGTGACAGGCCCCGGATCTGAGAAGTGATGAGCTTCATCCTGACTCTCCTCGCTTGCGCGAGGCGCGCAAAGGTCAGTGCAAAACCACTGTGGCAATCCATGCGCCCCACGCATTCCCATGTAAAATTTAGGGCCAGCCTCATTACTTATATGGAACATATATAAGGGTGGTTTAGGGGCACGTAGTTGTTACCATAAAGGCTGGCAATTACGATATGCCTGCCTGCTGCTTTTGGGGCTTGAATGCCCAAAGATACCCCGATGTATCGACCCAAAACCCAAAGGTGCCCTGAGGAAATTTGTTTTCCAGAAACCTCCAGTCAGGTTCCACGTTCGTGGGCGACATCGTTTAGGACACGTTCGCCGAAAACAAGCAAAGCAACACACCCACACACCACACACACAACCTTGTCATAGCAATTTAGAATTCTGGCTTCAGTATTCGCGTGAGAACGGTTTTGGGCCTAGCTGCGAAGGTTCTTTTTGATGAACACCTAGACTTCCGCTGCATCCTGGTTTGTTTGAGCGCTGCTCACCTCTCAGACAAATCTATGACGCAATGACCTGCGTGGCTCCAGCCAGAATCCTACCAGGCCGATGGTTTTGGGCATGGTCGGTCCGATGTGTTGAACATCCTTTAAGATCAGCTCGCACCAGTGTGTGAAAACTCAAGGCTGACCAACGCCCCGGATTCGCCCCAACATCGAATGCCACACAGGGCGCCCCGCTCGTTGCAGAGTACGCAGCGCCATAGGCCAAAGCACAAGCAAACAAACCATGAACTTAAATACAGCGATGCAAACCGACTCAAAAACCACTTTACTTATCTGTCTGAGAGCAAGTGAGCAGTGAACACTGCTTTTTCCTTTGGGGGCCAAACTGAATTTCCGGTTGGATCCAAAGGGTGTCCTTTGGAAACCGGATCTATGACAAAACCCAAGCTTATCTTCCAGTGAAAGATGCCCAGGGTCCACAGCAGCGACCTCCACGAAGGAGTTCTTCACTCGGTACTCCACACGCTTTTCTGTCCTCGCCGGCGGAATCTGTGGGTTGCCAAAAATGGGGGATACCCATTTTTTGGGCCATGGCTTATGTGGGGCCCGCCTTTGAAAGGGGTCCACAAAGGGGTCCATGTTTGTGACAACCCACCTTGTCTTGCAGCGTGACCTCGATTCGTGGCGCTACCCTCTGTGCAATCAGGGGCCAGAGACCCGAACTCCGCCCAGTGCGGGAAGTAAACGGCATTTAACCTGCCAAACTAGTTTGCTAAAAAAAAGCAAGGCCAGCATGCACGCAACAATAACATGTTGACTAAACACAGCACTTGACAGCCATACATTGCATCAAATTAGCAGCACCTGCGCAAATGCTTGGTGCACTTTGCTTCTTATGCTCGCACGCTGATAACCAAGCAGGATCAAGGAAGCCTGCTGTGCGGACAGCAGCCAGATCCGGCACCGTCCTCTCTGGCTCAGCTCGCCGCGCGAAGACCAAACGGAGGCGCAAGGCCGCATCCCTGCAGAACGTGCTATGCCGAAGGGTCCATGTTACAGCACCCCCAAAAAGGGTGCCCTCAAACAAGTACATATTGTTTCCTGTGTCGATGCGGGCCAAGTCTGGCCTTGACTTTCGAGTCTGTGACCATGCCAAACGTCGCTTTCAACCCGAGACCGATTAGAGTAAGTTACCCCTTGTGGCAACTGCACACAGAGAAGCGGAGAAAATGCACACATAGAGACATGGACACCTGGGTTGGGCAATATTGATCCCCTCAGGGACTTCTTCAAGCAGTGGCTTCAACATCAGGGGCTTGGCCCAGTGGCCGTCCAAGCATACGTCATCTTTTTAGCCAGGCGGCAGCTCTTGTTGGATCGCCTTCCAGGTGGTAGAGCCATTGGCCTCCTAGGCAATTTGCCTAAAACTCCTCCCCCCGCCAAAAAAAAAAGGGCCCTTGGTGACAATAGCTGCAAGGCATGCCGTTTCTAGAAGGATTGCGCGTGCGACTGGACTCAATGAGGTCTCATGCTTCATCACAGTTCGAGGTGAAACACGCACAAGGCCAAATTCCCGACTGCTGAGATGCGCCTTGGCATGACAATTCAGCTGACTCGCATTGGCCCCCGAAACGACCAAGACATCAAGTGAAATGGATGTGGACATTGCCGCTATTTCAAAAAAGATCACGCCACATATTGACCATGGGTCAAAATCCCGTACCCCCAGTGAACATCCGATTCAATCCCCACTATAGACTAAAATGGGTGGTGAATTCGCCTACCAACCAAAATGGGATCCCACCACACCGCACCGCAATTAGAGGGTCATGAGGACCCGGCCTGGTGTCACATTCACATGCGCTTTTTAAAGCGGGCGCCGCATGGATGCGGAGCCCCGCATTGTACATTCGGGGATGAAGCGAAATACAAGCGTGCGCGTCCGTGAGAGCCTACTTGAACTTTAGCCAATGTCAACGTTGCTGCAAACGCATCCTTTCCAACTTGCTAGCACATTGGCCTGATCAAATCCTCCTACCCACTCGTAGCACAGGTTGCGAGTGGCGCAAAACGTGAATACAGCGAGCCAGGCGTTCTGTAATACTGCGTCCATTGAAAGGACATGTCACACAGCTACCATCTAGATGGGTCCAAAAGCATTCTCAATGCTCCTCTAAATGTTCACTTTAAAGAGACTCTGTAGTCATTCTAGCAAACGCGTTGCTGGGTCGACTTGCGGCATTCCGCTGCATAATTAACCAATCGCACAAGCGAGTTTGTGAATACCCTACGTCGGTTCAAAACGGCAACCCTGTAGCAAAGGGAGCGTGGTCACCTTCGCATCACTTCCTGAACCCTTCTCTCCGGGTTTTAAATAGAGGATCTGGAAACAGCAATCTACCCAGCCCCGTTTACCTTCCCTTTGGAGAATTCAACAATTATTTGAAAACGACATGGGTAGCCGGGGTAGCCACACCGACGTGAAGCCGGCTGTGCCGACAAGTTTCCACCAGAATGCTCCCGGGCCTTGGCAAAGGTCGGAGCCGAAAATCAGGCTAATCTGCTCCCCCACACTGAAAAACAGATCTTTTTTGTAGCACCTTCTTGGCACCTTACCAGGGTCCCAATGCCTGAATATGAACACCGTACTTACTTTTCATATGGTACGCGCAGGTGAGCCAACACCCGTTGTTTGAAATCAAGTAGCGACATGCTGCTGCATGCAGTCGACGCCTCGTGATGCTTCAGCCAAGCAAACCCTCGCGAAGCATGACTGACATCATTGGCAGCTTGGAGGGCAACAAATCTGTGCCATCCCTGGTCCCGACTGGACACAAGAAGCAAATTTAGGCTGACAGGAGCCTTTGAAACCGGCCAAACTTCTGGACGTCTTGGTGACGTTTGCTTCCCTTTTTGCTGTTCATACCTTTTCGGGGGGTGGTTGAAAGGGAAACCAACAGGAAAACCCACAACTTCAGGGTTGGCCCCCTAGTTTTGGGGCCACCGTGCCCTTCCAGACCGAGGCGCTCCAGAGCCGACTTCGCAGCCGGGCCTCGGAAGTCAACTTTCTGAGGGGCTTCACGGGAAACCAGCAGGAAACTGCAAATGCGGGGGATTGAATCGGACAAAATTCATCTGGAAGCTAAACCAGGATCCCCAGAAGACAAGGCCAACTGGAAGCTGAGCAGCCAATCTGTGCTCAGGGTCTCCTTTTCGTGGGTTCCAGGCTAAATTACACAATGATTGGAGACCTGCTGGCCAAACCTGGACCCGACAAGGGACACGAAGCACAAATCAGCCGAGTCTGGCAACCTCAATTCGGGCGATCGACCAACCCTCACCCTCTGCCAAACAAAAATGCATTCGTTGGGCTAGAATGGGACAACAGGCAAACCTAACCAACGCTCAGGGCGAGAAACAAGTAGAGGCTCGATCACTTTCTGCAGCCTTTCCTCTTTGATTTCCCTCCACAGCGGTTGCTGTTGTCGCTGGATACGATTCTGGTTGATTCCTGCAATCAGCTCGCAGCAAATTCGGGAAGTGACTCAATCAGCTAAAATTGAACTTTGGTCTTTGGGCTCGGGACCCGCCCGAAATTGGGAACCAACCCCACCAAGGGCTCCAAAATGATTTGTCTGTCAGCTGCAAAAGGGCTTGGACATCCTTACCCCTTAAAACTCCAAGCCCTGGGGAAGTTAATCTTTTACAGGCATATAGCCCATGTTACCCAAAAAGTTGAAAAGTTGTGTTTTTTAGAGGTAAGCATCAAGCCCAAAGGCGCCGTGTGCTTCGACACCTCCAGGCGCAAAAAATCGCCCCTTGGGGCTGCTGCCGGCGCTGAGGGACTCCAGCACCCATTGCCGCCTTGCGCCAGCACTTGGCCAAGCTCCAAGGAACCAATCAAGCTGGTGCCATTTTCCGGTGTTTCTCAAGTGGGTCACAATGTTCGCGTTAAAGTGGGACACCCTCAAGCTCAACCAACGGTTTTATTGATGACGGGATTGTTTTAGTCCATCTTGAGACTCATTTCCTGAGTGGACTGGTCCCAAAAATGTCAAACCCCTTTGTTTATCACTTAAATAGTCTTCCCAAACAAAATATGTCCACGGCCCACTGAACCAGGAACTAAAACATGGACCCGGCCGTTGGCCTCGGTTTGGTATTGGTTGCTACCAGCCTCTTGGGCTCAACGAGCCTCCTTGCCCTTGAATCATTCGGGATAGTTGGCCGGGCGAAAGCGCGCGCATCCAGTCATGTTCAGAGTCTGGTCGATACGCGGGTGCACCCCATAGGACGTGAATTGCCTCAAAGAAGTTGACTAGAACCTGCCTTGGCTGTTTCTCACTACCCTGGTTCCTTGGGCGTGGTTGGCCTTGGCCTGGCTGGTGGGAATGACCCAGGGTGCAGGGAAACAACCTAAACCACAGGAAAATTGTTCACACGGGTCATTCCACCCCATTCCCTGCTGACAATCCGCAACTTCACCAGCCATATAAAAAGGGCCCTCCAAAAAAAAACAGACCCAAATGAAATGAACAACCAACAAACAACGCGCGTTTCTGGTCTGCCTGGCTGGCCAGTTCTCCACCCCCCGCCCCCCCTTCGGTGCGGTGCGGGCGCCTGCCACTGCGCCACACAAAGCCCCAGCCCTCCAACAGCGACGACCGCTCCAACTCAATCTCCAGGCGGCAGCTGCCGGGGCTGGGGGGCTCGCTCTCATCGCCTGAGCCGTGCGATGAGCGCCAAACACGTATGCGTGTGCAAATGATATATACATATATACCTCTCTCTCTCTCTCTCTCTATAGATATATAACGGTCACCCCCCCATGCTTCACACCTAGAACGTGGTATGAAATGAAACAGGCGTGAACTCATATATATATATATGTATGCATATGCCCACGCGCTCACGCCTGAACAGACACAGGCAAAGGCGCAGGCGGAGGCACAGACACAGACACGCCCACAAACATGCACACAGACTCGCAAAAGCAACACACACACACACACAGAGACACACACAGAGACACACACAGAGACACACACAGAGACACACACAGAGACACACACAGAGACACACACAGAGACACACACAGAGACACACACAGAGACACACACAGAGACACACACAGAGACACACACAGACACACACAGACACACACACAGACACACACACAGACACACACACACAGACACACACACACACACACACACACACACACACACACACACACACACACACACACACACACACACACACACACACACACACACACACACACACACACACACACACACACACACACACACACACACACACACACGCACACGCACACGCACACGCACACGCACACGCACACGCACACGCACACGCACACACACACGCACACGCACACGCACACGCACACGCACACGCACACGCACACGCACACGCACACGCACACGCACACGCACACGCACACGCACACGCACACGCACACGCACACGCACACGCACACGCACACGCACACGCACACGCACACGCACACGCACACGCACACGCACACGCACACGCACACGCACACGCACACGCACACGCACACGCACACGCACACGCACACGCACACGCACACGCACACGCACACGCACACGCACACGCACACGCACACGCACACACATGCACAAACAAAGCACTTTCACACTCTCTTATTCACACTCTCTTACTTCTCACTGCTTTTTTCAGACATACATGGACATATCCATCCTGACGGGCGCGCTTGCAAACGCGTTTTTGTCTAACTTTGGGCAAAAGAACATCCCTCCTCCAACATCTTTCAACCCTTTTTCAAGAGCTGCTTTCAGCCCAGTCAGGGCGAGTGCACCCAAACCACCATACAAGCGACCAAACTTCTTGACCTGTGCCCATATCTGGTCAATGCACTTGAGTCGGGGTTTTATACTTTGGTGCTGAGCCCGTGCGCTTCGGAATTGGAAAAGGTCTCCCGAGGAGTCTGGTAGAAAAAGGAACAACATCTTTTCTAGGTTGACATGAATTTGGTAGAGGGTGGATTGCGCTGAACATCTGCCCCGCATTCCCTGGTCGCAACCAAACATAGCCCCTTACTGATGTTCTTGGCCCAAATCTGATGTTCCTGTTCCCAAAAAGCTTCAACAATCATCAACAATCCCCTCGTGCTGTTGTCCAGAAAGTGATGAAAACAAACAAGAGCGCAAGTTCAAAACACAAAGTGGGAAGTCATGGAGCTTTTTTTCAGGGGTCATTTAAGGCTTTATTTGGGCTCCTCCCCCTCCCCTACAGGCCCTATGAGGAAGCCCATCCGATCCCCGCCTTCGGTGATGCTGCCGCAAAGCTCGGAGGAGCTGCTGCGCAGCAGTGGGGTCTTCCTCGCCCGGACCTTCGCTGGTAGGTCCTCCGCATGCCGCTTCTCCCACCCGTAGGCTCCCTCTCGCCAAAAGGGTGGCGTTTTCCACCAAAAGCAGGCTGAGTCTGCATGTTCAAAACACTGCTTCCGTTGCAGGAGCACAAACAACCAAACAAACAACAAACAAACACACCCACCCACCGACCTGCCCACGCACGCATACCCCGACGCAGACACAAACGCAAGCACAAACACAAGCAAACATGCACATGTCACATGCACATATGCACACACAAACACAAGCAAGCAAGCGAGCGAGCAGGCAGGCAGGCAGGCAGGCAGGCAGGCAGGCACGCAAGCAAGCAAGCAAGCACGCAAGCAAGCAAGCAAGCAAGCGATCAAGCAAGCCAGCAAGCAGACAAACAACAATCACAACCAAACAAACAAACAAACACAAACAAGCAAGAAAGCGAGCAAGGAATAAAGCAAGCAAACAACCTGCCCAACCCAACAACCCCCCCCCCCTCCCTTCCCACCCCACCTGCCGCCGGCCGGCCGCCCGCCCACCCACACCCACACACATGTTTTTTAATATACACCCACAGCCTCCCTGTCCGCTCGGTTCATATTTCGGTGTGTTTGGCTTCAAGTTCCGGGAGGGTGCTCTCCCTGTAAATCTCACCATTCGGAGATGTGTTACAGAATTGTCACGCTCAGGGTCCCCTTTTCTGGGCACAAGGGCAGCCGGTTTTTGTACTTGATCTAAATGGGAATGGCCTCATGGGTTAAGCTTGGACGTTCAGGGCGGCAGCAGCGGCAAGCTTCAGAGCCATCAGCACACCGCGCGGACAAAAAAACAAAGGGCGCCGAACTGACCGTCAGGAAAGGGTTGATTCAGTCCACTGCACACCTTCTTTCCGCGAGTCCCCGGTTTGGGCCCAAAAAATGGAGGTCCAAAAGCCAGGCATGGGCCAACAAAAATGAGTCCCCTAGCTTCGGCCAATAAATTCTGGCCCATACACCGGAAACTGGTTGGGGGGCCTTTCGACTCGGCGCCGGAGGTCCTTTGCCCGCACCATCTGCAGCCAGGCCCGTGCCACCTGCGCGGCCGGGCGGGCCACACCGGTGTCTGCCATCATGACGCTCTCCGTCCAGGTCCTGAGGCTCGGGTGAATCTCGCTTCCTGAGTTGATTGGCCAAAGAAAGTCCGAACTTTTTGTTTACCACCAAAATGGTCTTCCCAAAAAGTATGAAGTCCATGGACTCAGGGAGTGAGGAATTGCTTGGACCTTCGACCTACCTGATGTGGCCATGGTTCAAAACCGTTTTGGGATCCCATTTTGGATAGGCGAATCCACCACCCATTTTAGAACCTATTTTAGTGGGGAGTGGGATGTTCACTGGGGGTACGGGGTTGTGACCCATGGCCAAGTATAGCCATTGGTAGCTTGGGTATCTGGGGTTGGTCTCCTTGCCAAAGTTATCACCTACTGAAGTTGGTTGAGCATCCAACAGGCCTTTTGGTGCTTTGGATTAGTTGGGTGTTGCGGTCGTTTGCCATGCAAACGTTCTGAAAGGAGTTGGAAACCAAGACAGTCCAAACCACAATCTAAGGTGCACCTAAGCTTTTCGGGTGAATTCTTGAGGGTCTTAGCCTACCTTGCGAATGAACATGGACGTGCAGCAGGTTCTGTTCATTCTGGCAACTGTTAAGGCGAACTGGGGAAGCCGCAGGAATTGTGGCAGAGCTTCTGGGTGGAAGTGGCTTCGGCCAGGTTTTCCAATGCTCTTTGCAAGAGGCTCAGAAGCCCGGTGGCCGTGGGGAAGGAAGGCACTTGTTGGTTGACTTTGAGGTGAAGCCCTTCACCAAAAAAGGTGAACATCGCTGCCGGCCTGAGAGAACCCTGTCAGATTGAACCCACACTTGAGCCCAATGCCGGGGAATCGACCCTCCCAACGGAACTGGGCAGGCCTTTGCTGGGCGAACCTCTTAAACACCGGAGGTTTTATTCTATTCATTACTTTTTTGTTTTCGGATTCCGGCCCTTGAATTATGAGTTGGTCGTTTGGATTGGTGGCTTGGGGATTTGAACCCTAGCTCATTTGAAGCCTTGGGAACCACGAAGCCAAACCACCAACTCGGGATAAGGTGATGCCAAACGCATGGATTTCCAGCACTTCACACTTGGAGGCCAACCCCAGGTGTGCCAGCAAATTGGCATTTGTTCTTGCCGGAATCTGTGGTTCCGTATTGCGAAAAGGCAGCAACTATCCTTCAGATCCCTTGTATTTTTCAACATGGCCGTATGGTGTGTCTCAAAGGGGAAGCTTTGCCAGACAATATATAAACTTCCCTGTGGTCTCCCTTTCAAGTTATCCTAGCAGAAGGGCTCCCAACCCACCCCGCCCTCCCCATTAAAAAAAGGAGAGCCTGGTGTTTGGCAGGCGCGTTTTCGCGTTTTCCTCCAAGAGGGTTTCCAAAAGCGCAGCCATTGGGTTCCCGTTCCCGAGTTTCTTGGCCCGGATCTGACTCAGACCCCCCCGCCCCGGCAACAAGCCATCCAAGTTGGGCAAGGGAGTTTTGTTTGGAAGGAAGCCCTGAAAGGGCCAACATGTGTCTGGCAAAGGCTTTTTTCCTGTTCCACAAAGCGGGGGTGCCCTTCCCATCAAAAACACTCTGAAGGTCTGCGAGATATACCAGCTGAAAGGCGCACAGTTTGACCTACTCAAACTTGCGGATCCCTGGCAAAAATATACGGAACCAGCAGGACACCATTTTTCCCCATTTTGGAGGTTGAGACGCGCCCCAGTTGGCTCGCTGCCTCGCTGACAGCACCGCCGAACCGCACCGACTCCGAGGGGCTTCTGCTGCTCGGCCACCGGCTCCGGCGCCGGCTCCGAGGGCTCCGTCGCCATCGGCTCCGTCGGCGAGCGGGGCGCATGGGAGAAGAGAAGGGCCAAGAGGGCCAGGACCAGAGCAGTGGACTGGTCCGCTACAAGCACCTGAGCTAGCGGGAAAAAGAAGGGGGGTCTGGGAAAATTGGAAACGAAACGGGAAGGAAGCTTTTTGGCTTGGGGAAACTCAAAACGTGTGGGCTACCTAGCACCTGGTGCACCTGTGATTGGTGTCAGCACCGGGTGTCTTGGGATTGAGTTGAGGGCGTTGTAGCGTACAGGGTCAGGGCATGGCTGGTTTGAACAGACAGTGACATGTAGTGATATTCATAAATCGTAGAATACGTCCCTTGCTTGGAGGAAACGGCTCTGAGTTTGCACGGCCTCTGAATCGAGGGCCGAGGTTCAGCCACATTACACCAACTTGCAGGCGCTTTTGCCTTGAGTTGACCAAGTGAGAGCTTGCTCTCCAAAACACAGACCCGGCGTGCAGCTTGGGCGTAACCTCTCTGGGTATACGGTATTCCAATCAACTGGTACCTCACTGCAAGGTCCTTCTTCAACGGAGCCCATTGGCTACAGTAATATGCTACAATAGCTACAACATGCTACGATGACCAGCGTTCATTGCCCATATTCGGATTCCGTGGGCATTTCGCTTTCAGCTGAATCGGTTAGACCATCACATCTTCAAATGCTTGCCCACCAACATGATCCAGATTGCTGTCTCGTCCCCAAACGCTCAACCTAGATCCACGCAAAACAAAACACATTCAAGAGGTAAGTCTGTTGTTTGGGAGAGGGAGTAAATGTGATACCCTCGGGCGCTGTCAATATCGTCAAGCATTAGGGCAAGTACTCGGCTTTGCCGTGTGCACACAGGGTTTCCAAGTAGGCTCGGGCCAATCCGTCCAAGGCTCCCCTTTCCCTCTTCAGCCAAAAATCGGCCATCGACCACGAAATCACCGGGTGGCATAGGTTGGTGGAAGGGGGAGTGTGTGCTTTTTTGTTCTTCTTCTTTTTCTCTTTTTTTCTTGGCTTCTTTTTCTCTTGGCTTCTTTTTTTCGTGGCTTTTTTTGTTTTGCTTTTTTTGTTTTGTTTTCTTTCTTTTTTTGGAGGGGGAGATAGGGGCGGCGGGCGGGGAGGTGAGCTGGCCTGGGTGGATCCATCCCAAGCGTGGGGCCGGATCCATGGAAACCTGGAGGGGCCTACCGGACAGCTCGGGCGCAGCTCGGGCGCAGCCCGAGAATAATTCCAATACCCACTCTCCTGCAAATACACATGGAACCAACAACACTTGGTTGCTGCTGATTTTGTGGGTTTAGTGCAAAAACCCAACTTGATTTCCCAAAAAGTCAAAGTCTAAAGATCCAACCCAGCAGTCAAGCACAGATCGCAACATCTCTTTGGAGATTTGGAGGAACGTCCTTTGGGTGATTTGGGCTCCATTCATTTGAAGGGGGATTGAAATTCCATCCCCACTTTTCGGAGGATGCCGATCTGTCACCCTAGTGGGAAATGGCTGGTTTTAGTAGCTTCATATAGGATATAGTAAAGCTTGTGAAAATTCACTTGAGTGCGTCGGCCAAGAAAAATCAACAAACTGTTTGTTCACCACGAGAACGGTCCTTGAAAAACGAGCAAGTTCAACTCAAAAAGTAAACCCCAGGGAGGTGAGAAGGGCTATATAAAAACCCTTAGAACTATGTGGCTGGAACCCAAAGTCGATGTGTTTCAACAAATTCCAGCCATGGCGCCACTAGCAACGCGATGCCCAGGATGGCGCCCGCGCGGAGGTGCCATGCTTGCAGATCCATCTCTCGCGAGAATGGAGACGGCCCCGTCGCCCAAAGTTTGGGCGACGAAGGATGTCCCTTTTTCGGAGATTTTGGTTCCAAAGGATTTCCTTTTTGGGATGTCCCTTTTTGTACTATTTTTTCGTTCCAATGGATTTTCCTTTTTCTTCCTTTCCCCAAAATGGATACGCCCCAAAAGAAAGACAACTTCAATGCCAAGCAGGGGTGCGGGATCCATTGTTGGCCTGCAAGGCCCGGCATGTGGAAGTAAAGCTGCAAGCACGGGCTGAACATGGCTTGTCTTAGCTCGGGCTTGCATCAAGTGACTTGCTTCCATGGGCTAAGCGTGTCTTGGATGGAGCCGTGCACAGTCTTTCATGGTAGATTGATTGGACAGCCACATAGGTTTCCAGGGCTTCAGGCTGCGTCACTTTGTTTGCAACGGTTTGCACTTTGCTCAGAGTTCCGAGTAATACGCCCCTGTCCACCATGGAACTTGACTGAGCCGCGGAAGACACATCTCACGGTCTTCACATGCCGGGTAAACCGGAAGAAGCTCAAGGTGTGCAGCAAGCTAAGTGGGCTTCCTCTACCCCCAAACAACTAGGAAATCTGCGGATACCCTTGGCAAACAGTTGTATATCCCATTGAGCCTCAGTGTTTGGCGGTGGAAAGCATCGAAACCGGAAACAGAACCCTATGTGCGAGCCGTGCTTCCGCTCGCATCGGAATCCGGTGTCAACGTTGTCCCGACATAAAGGTAAGTGGCTTGATTGATTTGGTGCGAGGCATGCTTCATTCACAAACCCGGCGAAACTAGGCCTCTGACCAATAGGGTTATGAAACATGAATCCGTTTGGTTGGCGAACACTGCCGAGAGCTGCATATAGAAGCAAACTCATGGCGAGTGAATGGTCGCAGAGCATTGACGGCTTGCCTTCTCAAAACCCCAGGCCAAGACATAGTCGCCAAAGCCGGCGACATTAAATGTGAACAGTTCGCCTCAGTCAATGCATGAAACGTTGCAGGAGCCTGTTACAATCATTGAAGCCAACACTTGGTGTGACCTTGGCATACGTATGCGCTTTAAGACTAGTCACAACGGCAAGAAATCAATCACGCTTGCCCATCACGAGG